TGGCTGGGTCCTCCTTCTTGCCTTTTTTGAAGACTGGTGTGACATTGGCCTTCTTCCAGTCTTCCGGCACCTCCCCCGTTCTCCAGGATCTTTCAAAGATGATGGAGAGCGGCTTAGCTATGGCATCTGCCAGCTCACGCAGCACTCTGGGGTGCATCCCATCAGGGCCCATGGATTTGTGGGTATCGAGGTTCCTTAGGTGCTCTCTGACCCAATCTTCCTCTACCCAGGGCAAGTCTTCCTCTCTCCAGGCTTCTTCTCTTGTCCCTAGGGCCTGGGGCTCTAAAGAGCTGCCCTTGGTAAACACCAAAGCAAAGAAGGCCTTCAGCACCTCTGCTTTTTCTGTGTTATTCAGAACCAGGGTGCCCATCCCGTTCACCAGCAGACCCACGTTTTCCCTGATCTTCCTTTTGCTGTTCATATATTTGAAGAAGTTTTTCTTGTTATTTTTAACATCCCTTGCCAGATTGTGTTCCAAATGTGCCTTCGCTTTCCTTGTCGCATCTCTGCATTCCCTGACTACGTTCCTGTATTCCTCCCAGGGGGGCCTGGCCTTTTTTCCACATTCTGTATACTGCCGCCTTCTGCCTGAGCACTGCCGGACACATCAGTGTCATTCAACACATCAGTTTGAATAAAGAGTCCAGTGACCCTGTTAAGTCCTCAGGCTCTACTAGTTTCTTCAGGTAACGCAAGACAGAATACCAGCATTTTTGTATGGAACGGCATAGGTTTTACTCTGAAATCTGAGGTTAGATAAGCATGACTCTAGACTGGAGTCCAGGACCAGGCTTCTTTTAACTCTGCTTATTTGCCATTTCTGCTTTATATTTTTGGATTCAAAGACTGTTTCTTATGCTTCTAAGCTAATTCTAAATATCACCATTATTATATGATAATACTTAAAGATTTATATTGACTTATTTTTATGTACTTTTCTGCTTTTTTTTTCTTTTTTTATGATGCAGATGTCTTTTCAGTCACTTGGGATGAGGTGTACAGAAATGCTGACTAATGCAGACATTCCTCTTCTAAATGCTTTTGCAGATGAGTGAGCTTATTAAATGATTACAGTTACTCATGTGTAAGTTCACCCATATGCATATACACTGGCAGGCTAAAAGCTACCTTCTATGATTTCTCATACGATGATAACATGGAAGTCAAATAGATGAACCGCAGTCTGTGCATTCATGCATTTTTGCTGCCCAGGTTGAAGTCAAACAGCTCCCATATAGAGAACTGGCTATAAGAACTGGTTACACTAGCTCAAGGCTAAACATTGCAAGTGTGGGTGCATTTTGTACAGGGCCTTGCTTTAGCAGGAAGGTCACTTAGAAAGTGAGTCAGAAAAAGGAATACTGAACTGAAGCATTCCTATTGTGTTAAGGGCCTCAAATCCATACAAATACACATACAAATCCACAACTAGCTCTAATACTGTCCTAATATTTTTTACCTCTTGACAACACAGGCCTGCACAAGTCTCCCTTCCGTTCGCTTCTGTTTCCTTCTATTTATAAAAACATTCACCTGGTCTGAAGCAGGATCTCCTTTGATTTTCTTACTGTCAACGTTTGCTTAGCTTGCCAAACCTACTGGTTATGTCTGGCTTGCCAAAAAAAATTCATCTCTGTCTTGTGCACCTCTCTCTTCTTTCATCCTACAATGCACTGAGCACTCCGAACTGATTAAGCAGAGCTTATAATCACATAGGGTTTGTGCTTTTTGTGATGGTGCACACATTTAAAATGGAGCATGTCCTCAAACCTGGGTAGGATCAGAGTGCTTAGCACCTTGCAGTGTCTGGCGCCAAAGGAAATATGTGTTAAATTAGGTACTTAGGTTGGATCCATGTGCTTCTTCCAGCTAGTGCATTTATTTAAAGACATCAGGTAAGATAGGAAATTATTTTCAAAAGATACCTCCTCTTACTTCACCACAGTTTTAAAAGAACAACAAATATTCTCAGATTAGGTTTAATTAATAGGAATAAAAAGACACAGTAGCGTGTGACAGTTCTCACATAGGAGCTGGTTAGTGTCATGCAAGCTCATAGCGAGTCTCCCTGAAAAAAATGTTTGTAATGATGTCTTCAAGAAATTTCACAAGAAACTGGCTTAAGGCAAGCCAAGTGCATCAAATCTTTGGCTAGGGCTTTAACCCTTGGACTGTTGGCTCTGTTCGCTTTTTTTCTCCTGACCTGGCACACATGAAAAAGCTGTGAGCTCAAATACGACCAAACCTCTCCAAGTCTTCTGCCAGATTCAAAAACTCTAAATTCATAAGTGCATATAACAAGAAAAAAAAATGCTCTGGAGTTTGTTCTGTGAGATATAAAAATACTCTCCTCAAGTGTTTTAGTGTTTTACATCCCATTATTTGGAGCAAAAGAAAAATAAAGGAGGACAAACCTATCGACATGTAATGGGAAACATGGAAAAAAATCAAAAGACCAAACCTAACTTTTGAAAGAAGGAGCTGTTTGATCTATACTATTGCATTTTGCAGTCATTTGCACCAGGGAAAAGTCAGTGTAAAAGAGGTCCACAAATGCCTTTTGGCTGTAAGAGTTTTAAAGCAATGGAGAATCTCCTGGATGTTGCACAGCTGCACCTGAAGGAGGACGCTAGCCCTCTTCTTAGACCCCACATGAAAAATCCATCAAAGTCCATGAAATGCAAAGATACCACTTTACCACTTTACCATGAAATGCAAAGATACCACTTTACCACTCTACCTTGCAATAAGTGGGTGTCTGAAAGAAAAATTCTGTTTACACTGTCAATCACGGCATGTTTGCTTGGCTCCTGCACTCTTCGCAGACCTTAGTAACTAGATGGGGGCTGGGGATTAGGACAGACTCTCACCTTAGCAGGGCTGACTACTCTTAGGCAAAGCATACAACTGCCCATACCTGTGTATGTTTTCTTCCAGCTTTTTAACCTTCAATTCAC